AGAGGGCGTCGGGGGGCACTTGGGGACAGTCCGACCCCTGGGCCCCGCTCATCAGGGGCTCACCCGCGATGACCACAATCTCCTTCTAATGGTTGTCTTTCCTCCGCTTTGAACCACAGGCGAGCGGCTTCCTCATTCTCCAGAAGCTTGTGAAATCCTGTCCTGTGTCCGAGGTGGCTGAGGTGTCGCGTTAACTGCACTTACACCGAGGACCTGCTCACTCAGCCCGTCACCACCGCCGTCATCGAGCAGCTATTTGCTTAACCTCGCCAGCGGGAGGTTCGGAGACGCAGGGACCGCGTTCTGGAGAAACCGCGTTTAGATGACCTCACGGAGGAGTCACGTATGAGCGAGCGTGTCCTCCTGAAACCGTGAGCCAGACGTCTGTTCGCAAGACGCTCCCTGACGCAGAGCCGAGCGAGCATTCGGTGCCGACCTGCAGCCGTGGTGGGACGGGGTGCCTCCCAGTGGGGCTGACGAACAGACGCGTCGAGGCTGGGGCGGGCGCAGCTGTTCTGTGTAAGCACGACTGTGACGAGAATGAATAATCGGAAGTGGTGAACAGATGGCCTGGAAATGACCCCGAGTTTCCCGGGAAACGGGACGCATCCTCGAAGTGACAGCGACGCGCTGGCTGGCGATGGGCTGACCGGCAAGTCCTGGACACAGAGAGGCTTGGGTGCCAGGAGCGTGGGACCTGAACCCCTGAGTTAAGAATGTGCAGATCCAATTAGACCTGCGAGAGCCCCGGAGCCAGGGAGCCGTCAAGGGAGCGGGAGGAGAAGGTTCCAGAACAGCAGCTGTGGGACAGGCTGGCGGGAGACAGGGTCCAGCGGAGGGACAGTGGCAAGTGTCCGGGTTTGAGTGACCCTCCTGGGCTGCGGGGCTAATGTCCTCCTGCCCGGTCACCTGTGTCTCGCGGAGAACTCATCACGTGTGACAGCACTGAGCGAGGGACTATTTCAGTGTCAGAAATGACACGATGTCTGTGTCAGTGCCCAGGACCGGGACCCGGGAGCCTGGGCCTGCTCTTCAGCTGGGACTCGGGGTGCCTGGGGTGCAGGGGGGTTGGGCGGAGTCACTTGTCTGCGTCGGGGGAGTAGACACCCCGGCTGCCGGCCACAGCTTCCTTCCCCTCCGTGTGTGTCTTTCCTAAGACAATTTGTACGTATTTCATTCCGTAACATCTCGCTTCTCAAATTCACCGGGAAGAGGAAACAGAAGGCAAAGTGGATGAGAAGCACGTGGGTCACAGAGACGGGTCAGGCCCGTCTGGGGTCAACATGACTGAGGGGCCTTCGGAACAGACCCCGAGGGTCCCCATCTGCGCCCCAGCGGGAAGATCCTTCGCTGGAGGGAGACAACGGGTGGCTCTGGGCTTTCCCCTTGCCCGCCGAGCAACTTAACTAGGGAAGGTCAATGTCGATGTGGTTTACGGCTTTGCATCTCTACCCGTCTCCTCTGACGCTGACATTCACAGTCCGTCTGGGGACCCTTCCCCCGGAACGAGCCCCCCACACAGCACCTCCTGGGCATGTCCATCTCCGAGTCCTCGCACAAAACGTTCTCCTTCATTGCAAAAAGTACCTTCCCCTCCTCTACTTTGTAAGTTTAATTTTCCGCTGTAAAATATCCAAATAAATATACACAGACTCTCAATTTCAGGCAGCCCTGAGCTGAAATGAACACCGCAGGATCTCCCCCAGGCGGAAGACAGTGTCTAAAACGTCACCTGGACTCGCAGGAGGGAGAGGGGCGGAAATGGGCGGATGACGTCTAAATACTCATCGTCCGCCACACTAGTAAACTGCTCTGTGGTTCTTATAAACAGGTAGAAGTAACCAGTAATAAATTAAGAGTGCTCATAAAAATTATTAAGTTGCTTAAAAATAAAAACGTGGAAAACAATCTCTCCAAAGGGCCATTTTAGAGCATCGAACTGGGAACCCCCAAAGCCGGAAAGGGGAACCCCCAAAGCCAGAAAGGGGAGCAGGCGGCACACGGACGAGCCAAGCGGCAGCGAGGTGCTGAATTCTGGGTAGAAGTCTCAATGTAGCAGATGAAATGCGACTAAAGTTCAGAGACTAAAGTTCAGAGACTATCAGACTGTGCTAATCTTATTTTTTTTTTTTTACTTAAGATAGCTTTTCTTAAATAGAAGAAAACAGAAAAGGGGAAAAAATGAAAAGATCTATCAGCCGAAACAAACAAGCAGAAAACGCCAGCTGTGTCTGGTTGCTCTCTGCTATGTGATAAGAAATTTATTAGGTCTTTCGTTTTTATTTTTAATCCTCACCCGAGGACATTTTTCCACTGATGTTTAGATAGAGTGGAAGGGAGGAGAGGGAGAGAGAGAGAGAAACGTTGATGCGAGAGAGACACACCTATTGGTTGCCTCCTACATGAACCTGACAAGGGCCAGGGATCAAACTCCAACAGAGGTGCAGGCATGAGCCCTTGTCTGAAATCGAACCCGAGACCCTTTGGTCCGCAGGCCAGGGCTATTAGACATTTCCTCACAGTCATCCCGCTGGCCGCCTCCCAGGTGAGGCACAGTGTTTCATTGTTCATTTAGAGGCCTCCCTAGAGCCTGTCTTTCCCTAAAGAGCCATCAACGCGCTCGAATTAAATCGAACCAACAGTCCCTTCCTCAATCATCTTTGCATATTCCAAGTGCAAACACAGACGCACGCGGCTAATGGCTCCCCAAGCTCGGAACGCGAGGACAACAATCTTTGTAGCATCCCAGGAAGTTCTACTGGACAAGCGCTTCCCAAACACACAGCGTGCGCCCTCGATCCCAAAATAAAGGAATACTTGCACTCCGTCCTCTCAATGCAAGGACGTCAGACATCATGAGGCTGCCTCTCTCTACCCAGTTCGTGCTGTGCTGTGCCTTAGGAGTCTCTGTATTTTATTTATTTTTATTTTTTATTTTATCCTCATCCGAGGACATTTTTCCATTTCTTGTACAGATAGAGTGGGAAGGAGAGAGAGAGAGAGGGAAACATCGACGTGAAAGGGACACATCGAGTGGCTGCCACCCGCACAACCAACCAGGGCCGGGGACAAACTGCAACTGAGGTACGTGCCCTTAGCGGGAACCGAACCCGGGTCTCTCCGGACCGCAGGCCGACGCTCTAACCGCTGAGCCAATCCGGCCAGGGCGGAATCTCTGTATTTTAATTTCATGCGTGCTTATGTGTATGGATACATATCTGTCTTTGTGTTTTTATCGGGCAATCTTTTGTTAAATGTATCCAATGTATCTCTTTTTATTATTGTTCATTCCTGACTACATATATATATATTTTTTTGCTATATTCTGGGATCATTTTCCTTTTGACATTTACTGTGTATTTTAGTGCCGGAAGGTCAGTGACAGGCTTGGTTTCTGATGGTCTCAAAACGTCTGTATTTTCCCGCTATTTTTGAAACAAATGCTCAGTGGTCAAGTATTCTAAAGTTTTCTTTCTTCAGAAATGGAGGATATTTAATTATTTTCTACCTTTCCTTTTTCTGCTTAGAATTCAGTTGTCAATCTTAGGTTACCTTTTACACGGTGATGTGTATTTTCTCCGCCTGGTTGCTTCAAGTTGGTCTCTTTTTCTTCCTGGCTCATCTGGTGGCTTCAGCGGGCCTGGGTGTAGGCCTCTCTTCATGTTCATCTCGCACGGACTTCGTAACACTGCCTACAATTCTGAATTGTTCTTCTTCTATTTGGGAAAATCTCTCTGGGTCTGTTTCCATGACATACAGATTCTCTCGGACTTATTAATATCTTGACGTGTCAATAGTTGTTAATTTTTCATTGAATATCACTACACACTCACACACACACACACACACACACACACACAATCTTGTTTTAGGACAGCAATTGAATTTATGTTAGACCTTTCCAAATTCTCTGAAGCTCCATTCAACATTTTTATAATATCCTTAATTTTTTATTTTAAATATATTCTGGTGAACAATGACTAATTGTCTCTCTAGCTGTATCTAAAATCTATCCTTCTATTTTCCAAGTATATTAATTATAGTTATTTTAACATCTTTGTCTAATATTTCTATTTACTAAATCTCTTGCTAGTGTGTTTCTGTGTGTGTACACACACACACACACACTAGATTTAGTCATGTCTTAACTTCTTGAAATCTGGCAAAGCATTCTTGGGAATCAGACTATCTCTAGTCTACGTCGTCTATATGATCATCTGTATCTATAGCTGAGTATTTGTTTATATTTATGTAGCTATGCCTACAGGTCTATCTATGTCTGTCCATACATCGATGTCTGCATTTACATTTATATCATAGGTATCTATGTAAAGGTATAATTTAAGGCCCATTTGTCCTCTATCCAATTTCTCTTTCATGTAGAACCCTAACCATTCACGCCAAAGCATCGATTGTGTTCTCCGCCGTTTTCATGGGACTGTCCCCCAGGCCGCTGCCTCACCCCTTGGGCATACCTGTGAGCGTCCACATCTCTGAGGGGACCCGTCTAGTTCCCGATTTTGAGATTTTAATTCATAAAAGTCTATATATTCAAATAAGAGTCTTCAACTACTTATAGTTTGAGTAAAAAAATGTCAACGGTCCCTCAAAATTTGTTCAAATCCCTCACTTCCTAGGATTGCACAGCCTATTTCAATGTGCGTATTAGTCTTTTCATAATATCTTTTTTATCTATCGCAATCAAAATTCCAATAAATAAACAACTAGCAACAATAGACACAGCTGGGTATCAGAACCAATAATTTACTACCTTATAACGATTCGATATTCCGTACAATTTTGGAAGAAAGCCCATCACACCCCTTCCATCTGCAGTGGGGAGTTAACACATTAACTACAGAATTTCCCCAGTGAAGTCTTTTCGTCATTTGCGGCAGAGACAAGGTGAGAATTCAGGGACGAGAGATAAGGGAGGGACGCCCTGTGGAAGGTGAGGACGAAGAGGTTTGAACAGGTGGCGGAGAACACCAGGAGACACTTCAGCAGAGGATCAAGCAGCTGGATCCGCAGTCTGGTCTGTGACAGGGAGACTGGGTGACCCTAGAAGTCAAGTAAGACGGGCACCAGTATCTACACCCAGAGCTCTGGGAGGGGAGCCCACAGACTCCGTACCCCAGGGGTCTGGAGCCCCGGGACCCACAGCCCAGGGAGCAGCTGCTGAGACCACAGCCCAGAGCCCCCGGGGGCGTCATCCAGCAGGGACTGCAGAGCCTGGGGGTGCTGGGGTCACAGCAGAACGTCCGGCAGCGGGGGGGCTCCCAGCAGGTCCTCTGGCCCCTGTGGAGAGAGGAGCCCCGCTGGCAGGGCCTGGGGGAGCCCAGGTCAGGGCTGAGGACCAGGTTGCTGGGGTAGGAAGAGCCCCAGGAGGGGCCCGGGGAGCGCAGGCAGCTGCCAAGGGAGCGGGAGGAGAAGGTTCCAGAACAGCCACTGTGGGACATGCTGGCGGGAGACGGGGTCCAGCGGAGGGACAGTGGCAAGTGTCTGTGTTTGAGGGTCACTCTGGGCTGAGGGTTTATATCCTCCCAGCAGGGGGTGGGGCGTCGCCCAGTGTCATCTTTTCCAGGTTGACCCTCATTTGCATGTGAATCAGCCCCTCCCCCGCTCCTGGCTGTTAACCAAGCCTCTTCCTCTTCTGTTTGCGGGAACTCCTTTGGCTTTATAGCCCTGCGTCAGTGACCGCACCTGGACTGATGCCGTGACAGTGTGCAATTAGCACTCACCATGGCCGGGGGGTCCGTCCCGTCCACCTGCCCGTGACCACCTGCACCGGCGCCGGTCGGCGGGCAGACTCTGTTCCCTGGGCGGAGACCGGCTGCAGTCAGTCATCTCGCTTTAGCGTCAGGGCCCAGGGGCCGAGACCGGGGTGGACGAGGACCTTCTGAAGAGGGGCCTTCCTAGTGGTGACCCACCGCCTGGGGCGGGTCTCCCGTGGATTGCTCTCAGCAAGTCCTCCAGGCCCAGTCCAGGGGTCCCCAGAAAGAAGCCGAAAGGATTGAGAAAGAAGATAGGAAGGAACATCCTGAACCTACTCTCGTTCATTTTAAATATATTTCTATTGTGTTTTTATCTTCAGAGAGAGGAAGGGAGATGGAGAGAGAGATAGAAACATCGATGAGAGAGAGAACATTGGCCGCCTCCTGCACGCCCCCCACTGGGGATCAGGCCCACAGCCTGGGCATGTGCCCTGACCGGGAATCGAACCGGTGACCTCTTGGTGCAGGGTCGATGCTCAACCACTGAGCACACCAGCCGGGCCTGAACCTACTTTCTTTCCAATTTAGTGTTCACAAAAATAAAATCATATCGTGCATAAGAGATCACTGTGGACACGGGGGAAGAAGACACAGTGGGAGACGTGGACTGGTGCAGCCACTACGGAAAACAGTCTGGAGGTTCCTCCAAAAATCAACAGTAGAGTTACCATATGACCCAGCAACCCCCCTCTTGGGTATCAGAACGTTTGAAAACATTCACACACATGTAGGTGCCCTTCTGTTCACGGCAGCAGTGTTCACGGGGGCCCAGACATGGCGATGACCAAGGTGTCCTGCGATAGAGAACTGGATGGAGAGGATGTGGTGATGCACACAGTGGAATACTACTCAGCCCTGAGAAAGGATGAAACACCGCCGTTTGCAATGACATGGACGGAACTTGAGGATGTCACACTAAGTAAAATAAGTCAGACAGAAGCAGCTAAGAACTCTGAGATTTCACTCTTATGCAAGATATAAAACTGAAAGCAACAAACGAACGAACAAGAAAAACACACAAACGAAAACTCATAGACGCAGACCACAGAGTGGTGGTCACCAGAGGGAAGGGGTCTGGGAAGACTGGAGGGTGAAGGAGTCAGACATAAATGACGGAAGACGACCAGACTTCGGGGGATGGGCACACGGATGGTATGTCGTAATTGTACACCTGAAACCTACATAAAGTTAACTACCAATGTCACCCCAATAAATGTAGTTTGAAAAAAACAGAGTCGAGAAAATGTGTCCACAGTGGCACGAACGTCTGGCTGGCCTTCCTGTTCCGGCCGATGTGGTGGTGAAGGGGGCCAGCTCCCAGGTCCTCTGTCAAATCCAGCCCATGTAGGCTTGTTCATCACACGTACAGGCCCCAATGGGCTCTTTATTAAACTCCAAATTAGTTGCCAGCATTCAAATATTACATAATTCACATAAAATATGGTCTTTTGATTTCTTTTATAAAGTTCTGAAAATATGGTGACACTGGTCTCCTTTGTTCACAGTAGCCCAGGGAACAAGCTGCCCCATCCACATGAGGCCTGCCCCGTCCACGCGAGGCCTGCCCCGTCCACGTGAGGCCTGCTCCGTCCACGTGAGGCCTGCTCCGTCCACGTGAGGCCTGCTCCGTCCACGCGAGGCCTGCCCCGTCCACGTGAGGCCTGCTCCGTCCACGTGAGGCCTGCCCCGTCCACGCTAGGCCTGCTCCGTCCACGCGAGGCCTGCCCCGTCCACGCTAGGCCTGCCCCATCCACATGAGGCCTGCCCCGTCCACGCGAGGCCTGCCCCGTCCACGCTAGGCCTGCTCCGTCCACGCGAGGCCTGCCCCGTCCATGTGAGGCCTGCCCCATCCACGTGAGGCCTGCCCCGTCCACGTGAGGCCTGCTCCGTCCACGTGAGGCCTGTCCCATCCACGTGAGGCCTGCCCCGTCCACGTGAGGCCTGCTCCGTCCACGTGAGGCCTGCTCCGTCCACGTGAGGCCTGCCCCATCCACGTGAGGCCTGCTCCGTCCACGCGAGGCCTGCCCCGTCCACGCTAGGCCTGCCCCATCCACATGAGGCCTGCCCCGTCCACGCAAGGCCTGCCCTGTCCACGCGAGGCCTGTCCCGTCCATGCGAGGCCTGTCCCGTCCACGCGAGGGCTGCTCCCTGTAATTCCTCTATTTGTACCCAGCTCCAAGACCAAATTTCAATTGCCATTTGTTATTAAGCCAACACTGCTATTTTGTTGTTAGTTGAGGTCTGTCTCATAAATAGGAGAGTGAAAGTTGAATCGAGAGTCTTTGGTTTTAAGACAATTTGTGAAAACAAACTCCCTTCTGCCCTTAATAGATGTCCTTCCGCTTTTAGTAGGAAAATAGAATGTGTCCGCGTTGATGATTAGAATACGAAACACCAATCGTGAAACAAATCACAGGCCAGCTAGACTACCTCATTTAAATGTTCGTAATCCTCTGACTTGAGTATTTTATACACCAACAGAATTTGGGCTGGTTTTTACATGGTGGGCAAAGGCTTAAATCAGTGATATCTTACTTCTGAATAGACAGGAAAACATACAAACCGAACAGAACATAGATGAACAGTTAAAAAAACAGATGATTAAACTCCTGGGCCACAGCCCCCATGTGGTTGTGATGTACTACCTGCCATTGTCGTAAACCACCCCCTTAAATAAAGGGTCCGCACCCAGCGAGGGGTCCCCGGAGACGCTCAGAGCCTGCGGAATCGTGTGACACTCCGACTGTAACCGCTTCTGCACCGCGAGCGTCTGGCCAAGAACACGAAGTACAGCATCAGAAAGAGAGAAAAGGAAGTTATCTTCTGTTTATAACATCGAATAGCCTTTGCTAACAATACGCCCCCTCTCTCCACACCCTGGCGGATCCGCCGCTGGTCGGATGCTGCTGTTCGGGCGGAGGGGACGGATTTCACAGCCTGACTGTCCTGCGAGAGGCGGCCTCGCGGGGTCTGAGCACAGGCTGGATGTCACCACCCTGTGACGCTGCGCAGAAGGCTCACGATGGCGCGGAGTGACTCCCTGAAACTCAGGCAAGAAGAACAGCAACTGTGAGAGTGTGAGAGCTAACATGGGGAGGCCGGGGGAAGACAGCTTCTGAGCCAGGAATCAGAGGCCACAAGCTGCCTGTGTGAGCGGCCTGGGGTGGCTGGGCCACGGAAGTTAGCAGACGTCTGAAAGGAAGAGAAGCATGTAAGAAGGTAAATATTCACTACTTTTTCTCTGTCCTGTCTACGGTTGGGTAGCTGAGGGGTGACTGTGCCTATTTACAGATTTGGAAGTGTTTCTGCCCAGAAGCCGTGGTCAGCCAGGGCCTGGGGACAGGACAGGGGAGCGGAGGTGCCCGAGCTGGACGAAGCCCATGGCTGGAGCCCTTCCCGCCCCCTCTCCGACGTCCCGGCTGAATGGGGGTGCACTGGACGCGGGGCCAAGCTCCAGGCGGGCCCTGCACCCCTCCCTGACCTCCAGGAGGGAACGCGGGAGGGTGAGCTCCCTGCCCGAGCTCTACCTGCAGAGCTGGGTGGGGCGCGACCTGGGGGGAGGGGAGAGCCCAGAACGCTGAAGCGGAGGAGGCTGTTCAAGGTGCCTCGGGGTGTCCAGAGCCTCGAAGCTGGAGGCGAGGTCTCTGTTTCCTCGGCCCGTTCACTCCCGTAACCAGTCAGGAGCCCTGACGGAGGAAGGAGCCCGATTCTCTGGCCGGGACTCCGGCGTGGCCCTCGCTGGTGCTGCTCGTCTGGAAACGGTCCGGGTGGACGATGGAGACACGCCGCCGGGGGACAGTGTCCTCGTGGAGACAAGGAGAGCTCGGCCGCTGCGCACCTCGGACTCCGCTCTCGGCCCGGTGTTCTTGCCGACGGGCAGTGTGGCCTCGGTCGCTCCTGTCCCGTCTCACTGTCCAGGGGCGAGGATGCTGTGGCTGGTCTGGCAACCCCCCCGGTGCCGGAGCGTCACCCCCGCAGGCTTGTCCCTCTCAGAGCAGATCGGGCTTCGTTGAGCCTGGCTGAGGAGCTGGGACTCAGGTTAGTCGTTCACCCCAGGGGGGGTCAGGCACAGGCTCTTTCTCGTTACCTTTCCTGACAACAACTTTTTAATAATTTTTTTTCTTTATGGATTTTAGAGAGAGAGGAAGAGAGAGGGAGAGAGAGAAACATCGATGAGAGAACAGCGACTGGCCGCCTCCTGCACGCCCCCCACTGGGGATCAGGCCCACAACCTGGGTATGTGCTCTGACTGGGAATCGATCCGGTGACCTCCAGGTGCAGGGTTAATGCCCAACCACTGAGCCACACAGCTGGGCTATAATGAGTTTTTAAAGTAACCTAATACCAGGACTGGATTTGTTTTTAAAACAAACAAAAATAAAATAATCTCAGGGCATCGTGGGATGGAGTATGTTGGATCACTCTGGTGAGTCTAAGTAACGTCTGTAAAAACGTGGACGTCACTATCCCCCCAGCCCAGCCAGCAGCTCTGGGGAGGGACACACCCTCGTGACCCAGGGACAGAGTGACCTACAGCTCCGAGCAGGGTCCCTGCGCTCAGAGCTCTGGGGAGGCCACCCCTGAAGCAACCCCTCCAGCACTGTGACCTGGTGCTACTGACCTGTGCCCTTCCTGCCCCGACTTTCTCGTCTGTGACACGGGACAAGGTACCTCTCTTTCTGGGT